AAATTCAGCAAGTAACCCCGATTGCATTGTGTCAATAGCAAACCTACCAAGTAGGCAACTTTATTATGATTCGACATGTTTACTGACATACAACACAAGTAATTACATAATTGATCTTCATAAATTAGGTTTCCATGTTGTGCATTATACCAAATATACGCATCAACTCAGCTCAGACAACAACATACCTCATAAACTCATGGGCATCCTCCTGCTTTCCACAAGAAAGATTACCACCAATGTTAGGCAACCCTGATAGTATGTCAATTGGTGAAAAGGGATCCTGACACCAGGTACATTGTTCAACATGGACTTGAAATTCGCAGAGGAAGCACCAACCATTCGATCTACCTGGGTGGAAAGAGAGAATACATGATATAAGAATTATTTCCAATAATTTAAAATAAAGGGTTAGTTCATCATAATAATTTGATTTGATGCTCTACATTCTCTTTTATGGCCTTTCTCCAACAAGTAGGCGACAAGTGGTCTAGTCTGTGTTAGACATTGCAGAACCACATTAGCAAAACAGCTGCATAAGAACCAAAGAACGACATTAAGAGAACTCAAAGAATAGACTGGAAGGTAGATAATTCTTGGTCGTTAAGAGTCTATACTAGAGATACCTGTTACCACAATTTATGAGTCTACGAGGAGGATAGCCTGAACCACCCCAGTAAAAGTAATTCAAGAATTCTTCATATGGAAAAAGTTCCTGAAATAGGTTAAATCCCAACTCCAGTCAGGTCTTCAAAATACATGTTATTTGTGCTCATAGAAAGCTAATTAAGGAAGAAACATGTACCTGTATATTATTTTTTCCACTAAAAGGAACAAATGAAGTCCCAAACATGTACCTCCTTTGCAAAGTCGATGCTGATTGCTCAGAATTACCTTTAACAGATGATTGAAAATCCCTACATCCATACTTGTGCCCCGAGTTCCAATCAGATCTTTGGCAAGCATCAGAACTAGATAGATAAATAGGCACACAGACAGAGAGAGAGAGAAATAAAACAATTAGCCACTATCCTACACTCGAAGTCAGATTTATATAAAGAGAAGCAAAAAGATTATGGTTACTCCAAGGAAAGAAATGAAAACCAGAAGAACTAGGAAACAGCAAAAGTGGAAGAAAAGATGAAAGAGAACAATAAATCAAGACCCTGCAAGTAAAGTGAAGTAATTGTCAAGAATGCTTGTTGTGTGAGAGAGTACGCGTATCAACAATAACTTCTTTTTATTCATAGAAGGTGATTAGAAGTTCTATTACTGAAAAAGTCAGCCAACTATTGTACAAAAGTAGGGATGTATGTATATGAACAACTATATCAGTGAAGTTGCAACTCAGCTCGTTTGACATAGAGAAGCAGACATACCAAACAAAAAGAAGCTCAAAACAGTTTATTCAGCACTAAAAGAAATCTGGAATATAAGATCTTAATGAATCCCAACATGATTTGACAAGGATAGACACACAAAAGAAAGTTTATACATCTACTTAATATGGAGAGTTTCTCTTTAGTTAAGTACTTTAAGTTGAATGTCGGTCCTCTTTGACGATGTTGTCAAATCAACACTTGAGCTCAAACTTTAATGCAAGGTGCATTATACTGTGTCCAAGCTTCAAGTGAGGCACTTCCGTGTACACACAAACACACATTCAGACACACACACACACACACATATATATATACATAGAGAGAGAGGACGGGGTTCATAAAATTGGTACTCTTCCGCCCAATTATAGGCTAGAGATGCCTCTCGTCACACTCCACTGATTGGGTAATTTAAAGAGCACTCTATCAATTTGGACTTAATTTTTTCTGTTTGACACCTTGCAAAGTGGATACTAAATGTAAAGAAAGACATCACATGAAATCATTAGAACATGTGGCTACGAACCACAGTATTGGGGTTTTGAATCCTTCCTCACCCAGAACATGCTTACTCCGTCTCTTCTCATTATCATATATTCTACCTCTCTGAACTTCAAATACCCCTCCCACTCATTACACAAGTAATCCCCTGCAATTGAGCGGCATGGATAGAACTCTTAGCCACATCAGTTACATACATAACATTCATATGTAAAGATGGATATAGTGATCCAGGGAAAAAAATATCACTACTATTTAACGCTTATAATTACCAGAAGTATAAGATTGGTAGGCAGCAGAATATAGTTAAAAAAATAAGGTTATTATTATTATTCAATATAATGTTTTAAGATTCTCCTCTCCCCCCCCAAATCTATTCCCTTTGTAGAGGCTGTAAACTACAACAGAAGAAAACATTATCACAAGAAACCCAAAATAGAGGAATGATGACAAGAACAGCAACATTTCATCCTCAAAAGGATAAGAGCCTCAGCCACCGGATGATCAGGAAAGATTTACAAGATCCTAACATATATAAATCTTGCTAAACGGAATGAACAAAAACTATTTCCTACTCTAGCACTAAGAATAGCAAGTAGTAAATCAAATTATCGTTCTATCCTTCACAGAATTAAACAATTTACCAAATTTCCCTATCAAATGGTTCATCAAACTATTACTCCATCCTTCGCGGAATTAAACAAATCTACCAAATTTACCCCACCTCACCCCCCACCTCATCCACCACCACCTTCAACAAGTAGATAGAACAAGACGACTAACAGAGTAATTGTAACACAATTTCTAGTTCAGTTATACCTAAATCTTGTGGCATTTCTCTACATTTACAGCTCAAATTAACCCTAGAAAAACAATCATCAAGTCTACTTAGAAACGTGCGTAACTTTCACTTCAATCAAAAACGATTACACAAACTACAAACTAAAACTTCAGTATCTTTGTATATATCGCGAATTCAAAAAGTGTGCATACCAGTAATTAACCATCTTGCAGCGGGAGCATCGTTTAGAGGTGACATTGCCGCAGATGGCGCAAGCACTCGGCATCCCCATATTCCGATCGGCGACGGCGAATTATCACCGGAATCAAAATTACCGGCGATATGTGGAGTAGTTAGTAGAGTTACTGTGAAAAAGAAGTATCGAATTGCAAATACCAAATTTATAGGCTCCTTGTTTCTAGAACTTTATAGGAACTTTCTAGAACTTTTTGGGAAATTCAAGTAACTGAATTTGGTGTTAGTTGATACTAGTAACTGAAATTCAAGTAGGTTCTTATTTATGAGTTCTCTTTGGGTCAAAAATGCCCCTTTAAATTTTTGAAAATGACTTACAAGGGCGTTTGACCATGAAAATTGCGACTATTTGATTTTGAGAAATTATATGAAGTTCTAATAATCATATGAAACAATCACTTGGAGACATTTGATAGCTGATTAGAGCTACGTAAGTATTAGTACAATAACATATCCATTGAAATATCATAAGTGGGGTCTGAAGATATAGATCTCGTAAAGGTAGAGGGGTTGTTTCTTTTGCAAGTATTAGTAACATATGAATTAGTTATGAGTGAATGTATTATTTTATGCACGTATTAGTTATACAGAAACTGCATAAAATAAAAGTACATAGATTTCTTCATAACTTGTACATATATTAGTTATGTAGATTTCTAAGTTGTCAACTAAACGTGTATTAATTTGTTACATGAATTACCTATTTCATATTTACCTATATAGCAAACGTCGTATAACTTATACGAGAATTAATACATGAATAAAATTTATTTCTTATCCAATTACTAAACGAGCCTTAAAAGAACAACAAATCTAGGATGTCATTAATTTTACTAACATAAAAATAGAGAGTAAAAAATATTTGGGTACTAAGAGCTAGTCACACGTATGAACTTGTGTATGCTTTATAAAACTCTTCACTTTCTTCTTTTTTTTCGATGTGGATTTATTATCACTTCCTTAAAAATTTGTAATTATATTTCTAATCAAATAATTAACAATATTTGTATTAAAATGATGGAATTACTATCCCAAATTTGATTTGAGACGAACTTTTATCTCATAAAATATTTATGTTCATCTCATGATGTGTAATGTGTACCAAATAGTATGATAAGTCGATTATTATAATTATGGCTTAAGTCATCGACAGTCACTCAAAGTTGTCCGCATAATTCACTTGGACACCTTAACAAGAAGTTGTACTTATTGAACACATAAGTTATTCAAAATAAGTATCTATTGAACATTTTTCGCTGACATGGCATGAAAAGTGTATTACACAATTATTTAGCGCTCTTCCTACACAGCTACACTACCATTTCAACCGTGCACCCCGCCGTCACCATTTCCACCGCGCTAGCGCCACCACCATCAATTCTTCTCTTTTTCTGTTAAGCTCAAACCAAACAATTTTAAAATCCTTTTGAGTAATTTCTTCTGGAAAAAAAAAAACAATTCCACCATTAACTTGAAGAGAAAAGGAATAGAAATGAAGAAATAGATGAACGATTCGATTTTAAACAAATAGTTTCAGAACCTCTTATTTGAAGTTAGGAAATCTCTTCACAAACACTTCAATTCCACCATTAATGGTTGAATTTCCTTCAACTTTCTTCCGAATCAGAGACGAAAAATGAAGAAATTAAAGAAGAGTATGTAGTTTGTTATTTCAAACTTTTTTTCTGTAAAACACATTTCTAAATTTATTTTTAGTTGAATTAAGAGAGATGGTGGATTGACAATTGATGGCGGCGACAATGGGTGGATGAAACACTTTGAATAGAGGAGGTTGCAGGGTCGAAGGTCAATGGTGGCGGACATGGCCTTTTCCTTTTTTTTCTTTTAATTTTCTTAATAAATGTTTAATTATTATTTTAACTCAAATTGCCACGTGTACGTCATTAATTTGTTAGTTCACCACGTCACTGCGAGTGTGTTACACGCATTTTATACTTTTAGTTGATTGTCAAAAAAGTGTTCAAATGGTTCAAATTCAAATTGATAGAGGTGTTCAATAGGTATAAGGTTAGGTTAAGGTATCCAAGTGAATTATAAGGACAACTTTAAGTGGCTACCAAATGTTCCCAAACTCATGGTGTCTAATATTAAACATAAACAGATCATCTAACAAACATAAAATGCTGAAATCTCAAACAATTCAAATTTAAATAGCTAAACTTCAAGGGTGTTTTCCTCTCCCCTCGACCACTTCACGCTGAAGTTCATACTCGTACTCATACTGATCAACGAACCACCCTCCAACACTTCTTCTAGCCAAATATACTAACATTCGGCTTCTGGAAATTAGTTCGGAGAAACAAAACAAAGTAAAGTTAGTTCTCAATCACAAGTGTGTTTTTCGCGAAAAACAAATACATATGATTATCATTACGTGCACTTACCACTCCTTTTGGATTACACGAAAGGATTTCTTCAAAACGATCAGGAATTCTTCTAGCAACATGAATGTAAAAAGTCTCGATAGGAGTAACAAGGGTGAGATTTAAAACTTTAACCGTCATGAAATATTGTTCATATCCTGATATCATAAAATTTGCTTTCTCAATCTTCAAAACCTTGTACTTGAAAACCTGTATTGAGATCAAGCAAATCATATATCATGCTCTACAGAATTAAGAAGAGTTATGATCATGTACACATACATTGTCCTGTTTTTCATTGTATTCCTCAATAGCACGGTTAGCTAGTTTCATCATTATCGCAAAGTCAGGATCTTCTTTGAGGTTCAGAATTCGTTCTAATATAACTTCCCCACCGGAACAATCATAAAAGTCGAAACCCTGTTAATTTCAAAACAAGTAAGCTATAATTTATTGACGAATTGAATCAAAAAGCTCTGTTATAATGGAAAGAAAGGAAGCGAACATGAGATTGACGAATCTGCTGGGAGTATCTCTCCCGAATTTGATCAATAGCAGGACGATGCTCCTTCAAAGTACCAATTGCATATCCATCGAATAAGTTATCGGTGTCGTCGGGATCTGTGGGAGATTGATTGCATAAAACGCATCCTTCTGGCGATGGCTCATCGTCGTAAGCGCAAAAACATCCTTTTACTCCTGTTGCTGCTGCTTCGTTTAGCAGCTTTTCTAATTCTCCTTTTTCAGCAAGGATCTCCATCGTCAATCCCTTTTCGGCCGCCATTGCTGCAAATTATTCCCTGTTTTAATATTTAACCTGACTTTAGCTGATATTTATGCCCTCTAACTTTGGGTGTACACAAATAGAGACTTAAACTTATATAAATTGAACGAGTAAGCACACAAAAGTCTTAAATTGCAATAAAAGTATGACTCTTGACTTGACGTCAGCTGTCAACTATAACTTTTAAATTTGAGTGTCTACAAGTAGGCACATAAACTTTATAAAATTGAGCAAATAGACACATTCGTCTTATATGACAATTTTGTGTCCTACGTGTATTATGTCATGTAGGACACGTGTGTCTACTTGTTTGATTTTTATACAAGTTTAACGGTCTACTTGTGCGCACTCAAAGTTGGAGGGAATAGTTGTCAATTTAATCCAAGTTAAGGGTCATGTTTATATATTATGCCGAAATATAATTATTTTGTTTGATTTTGAATATATTTTAAAAGAATAGAAAAAAGGCGAATATATAATATATTTATTTATACACAAAAAAGAAGAAGGATTCAGTAGGATATACACAGAAATTTATCTCTATGTTGACGTGAAACATAAATTTTAGAAGTGTCTAGATGATCATTTGTAAGTTGAAGTGTTGAACTGATACAGTGGAGACGAGTTGAGCTTATATATATGTGCATACTGAAAATTGAACTTTATTTAAAACCATATTTTTTTGTTGTTTATCCTATAATTTTGGGAAAGAGATTCACAATTTTCGATTAAAAACAGCCAAAGGATGCCAAATGTTTGGTTTTGGTTTCTTATTTTATAATATTTAGCCAATTGTCATTCCAATAATCAACTTTACAATTATTATTAAGAAGAAAAAAATAGCAAAGTAGAGGAAATTGAAAAAAAAAAGAATTTTTTTTCTTTTCTACAATTAGAACAAATAATTATGAAAAATCGAAGCAAAGGAAAAATTTCACCTCTATGTATTTTTATTTTATGTTTCTTCAGCTTTGCTCTTGGAATGTTTTTCTCTAAAAGGTATAAAAAAATTATTATTTTTTACTGTTTAATTTGTTATTTTCTGGATAAAATTCTGGGGAGGGGTTTTTTGATTGAGTTTTGAGCTTATTTGTTTGAGTTTGTTGAAGAAATTTTTTTAAAATGGCAATTTTCTGATTCTAAACTAATTTCTTGAGATACCTGTTATCGACAATAGGTATCAGGTAACTCTGTTCACTAAGACACTTGTGTTGAATCCACACATTGGTCTAGGCTTGGATCATTTATCGTTTATGTGACCTATGAGTTAGATTTTAGGATTGAATTACGCTCGAGGTTCATTTTCATATCAATTTGTTATTCAGTTATTGAACCATTTTTTATGTGTTAATCTTTGTATTTGTTAGAATTTGGGCTCCAACTGAATCAGTTGGAGAGATCGCATTTCCAAGGCGGTACAATCAAGAGAAAAAATTCAGTTGTGATGACTGTGAAACCAAAAAGATCCAGGTTTGAGCTTTTTCTATTCTTTTATTAACTGATTTATGTATCGGATTTCATTCACCTCATTGTAATTTGGAGATGAATGACTGGCTAGCTCTATCTATAAAGATTTTGGATTTGTCGAAACAAGAACTTAACATGAGAGTTAGGCAATCCTCTATGTAATATGTCATTTGGTACAAGCGGACACACCAATGTACTCTCTCTGTTTCAATTTATCTGTCTTAGTTTGACGAGAACAAAGTTTAAGAAAGTAAAGAAGATTTTTTCCTATTTTTACCAGGAGGAGGATATGTTGGGCGAGTTTAGCAAAGCCCATGAAGCTATTAGGTGAGTTTCGTATCGTAAATAAGAAGTTTAGAGCTTCATTCCTTATGTTTTTCACATTTGAACCAAACTAAAATTTCGACAACAACGAAGAAGTGTGAGATTCATACAACGGACCCCAACTTGTTTGATACTGAGGCGTAGTTGTTGTTATTGTATTTTCATAATTTTGTTCTCGTGACGTGTGTCAGGTCATTGGATAGTTCAATTGCTAAGATCCGATTTGAAATGCCTTCAACTAAGACGTTCCTTGGTACGAAGGAAATGGAAGACTTACCTACCATGATCACCGCGGATACTGAAAGAATTGGGATAAGAAGGAAGCCTTTTGTGGTAATTGGAATAAACACCGCGTTCAGTGGCAGAAGGAGACGTGATTCCATTAGAGAAACTTGGATGCCTCAAGGTATGTAACATATTTATACTTTGTATTTTCAGTTTTCAGGTTGCATCCTCCTTTAACGATACGTGTATATTAGGTGAAAAATTACTCCGATTAGAGCAAGAAAAAGGGATCGTTGTTCGCTTCATGATAGGCCACAGGTGAATATTTCTTTCCAATGTTGTATTCTAAAGTTTTTATTTTGAAATGATTCGATATATCTTGTTTTGTTTAGCCTTTTTCTTATACAAAGACAACTCTAGTTCTCTCATACTCGATCAAACTCTTCAAAAATATTGTAGGATGTGTTCCGAGCAACATATGTAGCTCAGAATGACATATCATTTTGCCTTTCTAGTCGAATCATTGGTGATAGTATTTCAAGTGATCATTTTTACGCGAAAAAAGAATGACATATAGAACAATTTGGGCATATTCTAGCCTAAAAATTTGTCTGTCTTTTCTATACAGTGCTATATCTAATAGCATTTTAGATCGAGCCGTTGATCTTGAAGATGCTCAGCATAAAGACATTCTTCGCTTAGTAAGCACATACATTACAATTCGATCTGCATTTTGTATATATGGTTGAATTATGCTTATACTGTCATCTCGGATTTGCTATTTTACAGGATCACATAGAAGGATACCATGAGTTATCTGCAAAAACAAAAGATTTTTTCGCTACTGCAGTTGCAAATTGGGATGCAGAGTTTTATGTAAAGGTTGATGATGATGTTCACGTTAATTTAGGTATATATATATCTATATATCCACTCTCCTTTTGATGACGATGTAATGTAACTTCATGTTAACTGTCAGTGTATAGAAGTTATACTCTTTGAATGTTGAATAGGTACTCTGGCTGCAACGCTAGCCAGACATCGGTTGAAATCCATGGTGTATATAGGATGCATGAAATCCGGTCCAGTTCTTAATCGAAAGTAATTTCCTCTGAAACTTTCAATATCAAGGCATTCTCAGTTCGTAAAAGTTAAAACTCGTATGCATAATTTTCATTTCTTTGTAGGAATGTTAAGTACCATGAACCTGAGTTCTGGAAATTCGGAGATCCTGGAAATAAGTACTTCCGGCATGCTACTGGACAAATATATGCCATCTCAAGAGACCTCGCGAAATACATTGCCATTAACAGGTAAGATACATTGTTCTGTTTTGAAGTTCCTGAAAGATTTTGTAAATCGACGAAAAGATTTCATTTGAGTCTCTGACATGGATAACAAGTTTTAATCGGATAGAAGATCGTTCTTGTAAAGTTGCAATGTGCGTTCTGTTACCAGTCTTCTAATCTAAATAATCAATTTGTTTGTCTGGTTTTGACTTGACACGGAGTTTAAGAAAGTAAAGATGAACTTTTAAATCTTCTGGTCTTAAACATGTAATGTGGAAAGTTAGGAGTAAAAAGTTGTGAAGAAATGAAAGAGGCGTTCTTCATTAAACGTACTAAACAGGAAAGTAAGACAGACAAATTGAAACGGAGAGAATATGTGATTATCCTGTAGTGAATAAATATGGTGATTTCAGGCCTATTCTGCATAAATATGCAAATGAAGATGTTTCACTTGGAGCATGGTTAATCGGTCTAGAAGTTGAACACATCGATGATCGTAGCATGTGTTGTGGAACTCCTCCTGGTAAACAACTTGTAGATTGCATATTGTTTATACCGTCAGTGTATAGAACTTAAACTCTTTGAACTAATGATGTTCTGCGACTTCTTATATTGTTGCAGAATGCGAATGGAAAGCACAAGCTGGTAAAGTTTGTGTAGCATCGTTCGAATGGAGTTGCAGTGGAATTTGCAAATCCGTCCACAGAATCAAGCATGTACACGCCAAGTGTGGCGAAAATGCTGCTACTCTTTGGGATGCTCTCTTGTAGTTTTGAGTTTATAGGTTCTCGATTTATATATACATGAGGATATTTTAACACAAATACACTAGTACGAGTCAAATTTATTAGGTTTTGTTGAATCTGTAAGTATAATTGTAGCTCCGTCCCATGTAGAACCACAATATTTTTTTTCTTGATTTTGAGACATTTTTGTTAGAAGGAAATATGCATACAAATTGTTGGAATAGTTTATAGTTTGTATTAGCTATATATCTTTCCACATAACATTAATTTTTAAAATTACAAATTTTTTATCCCACAATGTGCATTGTGATCTAATATTCAGTGGAAATGTTAGTTAGATTTGCTACTTCTTATTTTTTTTGGCAATTTTTTTATATTTTCATGTACGATAAACGATAGTAATGTACAAATGAGCAAATATATCATATAAAAGATTGTCAATCCCACTAGCACTAGAGATAGCTAGGTAGACATAGTATTAAAGTGACTCACAGACTCTCGTTTTGACATTCTCCACTTATATAGTAAAACTCAATATAGGATCTTTTAGAACTTTTTTGCGATTGTAATGTCGATTTAAAGATAGAAAAGTGACCTACAAACTCTTGTTTGACACTTTAAGTGTCGATTTACACTATTATCCTTTTTTGCATATTAACCCCTCATTTCTTCCCTAAACTTCTCCCTCTTGTTCAATTTCTCTTTTATTAGTTGCATTCTTATGATTGTGGATATAAAAGGATATCATTTTCCTATGAATTCACGATTTCTTTAGTCTCACGTCAATTAAACAATAGTAAAATCTCACCACTACACCCTTATCCTTACATATCTCAAACACTCACATGTTTAAAGGGAGATAAGTTGAAATCAAGATACGTTGAGACTCACAAAGACTTTTTAAAAAAATAAGCAAATTTGGTTAATTACTCTTCTCTCCTTCCATGATGAGTTTTTTCTAATCCCATTTTGTCAATGGATAAGTGGGCATTTAAACATAAAAAATGTGATCTTTAAAGAAAAAACTATAATATTTGAAAACTAGTTGAAAAGGATTGTTTGAAAGTTGTAATTGCATTTGTACAAGTTAAAGAAAATTTGTGAGTGTAAGAAAATTCTCACTTGAAACGCCCTAGAGGGTCGTTAGGTAGTTGGTTAGAGTTATGCATGTAATAGTAATACATGTATTATTTATGAAGAGATTAATTATGTAGGGTTTAGTTATTCATGTATTACTTATTTCACCTTCTATCATGCAGATCCTCTCATAAATTATACGATGTATTAGTTATGCAACTTTCAAAATTGCAAATCAGACACCGTATTAATTTTATATATGAGTAACTTACCTCCTAATCAGTTACCAAACGTGATACTATTACTTATACATGATTTAATATCTACATAACTTATCTCCAAACCAACTACCGAACGACATCTAAGTTTATCCCAATATTTTTTTGGTCTAAATTTCAATTCTTCTAAAATTTAGGGAAAATTTGGAATAAACATAAGATGTGAGCACTTTGTGATATTAGGCCTAAATATTGACCGCCTAGCGGCCTCGCCTCCTTCAAAGCATTTTGTGACTACAAACCCTTACACGCAGAGTATATATAAAGAAGAAGAAGAAGAAGAAGAAGAAGAAGAAGAAGAAGAAGAAGAAGAAGAAGAAGAAGAAGAAGAAGAAGAAGAAGAAGAAGAAGAAGAAGAAGAAGAAGAAGAAGAAGAAGAAGAAGAAGAAGAAGAAGAAGAAGAAGAAGAAGAAGAAGAAGAAGAAGAAGAAGAAGAAGAAGAAGAAGAAGAAGAAGAAGAAGAAGAAGAAGAAGAAGAAGAAGAAGAAGAAGAAGAAGAAGAAGAAGAAGAAGAAGAAGAAGAAGAAGAAGAAGAAGAAGAAGAAGAAGAAGAAGAAGAAGAAGAAGAAGAAGAAGAAGAAGAAGAAGAAGAAGAAGAAGAAGAAGAAGAAGAAGAAGAAGAAGAAGAAGAAGAAGAAGAAGAAGAAGAAGAAGAAGAAGAAGAAGAAGAAGAAGAAGAAGAAGAAGAAGAAGAAGAAGAAGAAGAAGAAGAAGAAGAAGAAGAAGAAGAAGAAGAAGAAGAAGAAGAAGAAGAAGAAGAAGAAGAAGAAGAAGAAGAAGAAGAAGAAGAAGAAGAAGAAGAAGAAGAAGAAGAAGAAGAAGAAGAAGAAGAAGAAGAAGAAGAAGAAGAAGAAGAAGAAGAAGAAGAAGAAGAAGAAGAAGAAGAAATTCGCCATTATTGAAGATTTTGAAATGCCAGGCTTATCTTGTAACGCTTGTGACAAGGAATTTGTTGATGATACTGAGCAAAAGCTTCATTACAAATCTGAATGGCACCGATACAATCTTAAACGCAAGGTATTTGCTCAAAAAACCCATTTTTGATACCTTTTTTTGAAAAAGTAAATTTGTTTGTTTGGATGAATTGAATGTATTAGTTTCTGTTTATTGTGTATTGGATTGAATGGTTCGGAACCTCTGTAATTAGGCAGATTAAACATAACCCTTATGTGCAGGGACACAGCCAGATTGTTTGTTACAGGTTTGGCATAAGTCATAACCTAGTAATTTTGGCTCAAACCTTGTATTTGTGTTTAAAAATTTAATCTTTCAGAACCCAGTAAAGAAAAATGATTCTGTTGAGCATCATGAGGTCTGGAGTTCAAATCGCAGTAGAGATAAAACACTAGGTGATGATGGATAGAATTACCTAATTTTGGCTTAAACCTTGTATTTGTGTTAAAAAGATTCAATCTTTTCAGAACCCAGTAAAGAAAAATAATTGTGTTGAGCACCATGTGGTCTCGAGTTCAAATCGCAGTAGAGATAAAACACTAGGTGATGATGGATAGAGTTACCTAGTACTTGTTGTAGGTGGTAGATGTTTTGTGGAGGTGTGTGTGAGCTGGTCCGTATACCACGGTTATCAGAAAAAAGAAGAATTGTGGATTGAAATCCATAAACTAGAACTTGTAAACTTGGATGCACCTCAACCTCAACTAATTAATACTTGCCGTCTTTCATCAAATAGGACTTTATCCATCAAAGTGTAGATAGTTGTAACAAATAAAGTAGCTTTTTTTTTGTTCCTGCTGGGAAAAACTATGCCCTTCCCTTAGCCCTCCTTCTGGGAAGCCAAAGGATGACGGGGTTCAGTTGTCACCATGAGCTAAGAATCGAGAGGGGTAAATATTACACTTGATGTCACTCGGAGAGCTTCTCCAAGTCCACAGCTGGTGTATTATCAGCTTTGGATCAGTTAGGTGGATGAAGCAGAGATGAACATTAGGAATATGAAGATCACGAGAGCATATGATTGTAAAAATATTGGCAGTTGCTTAGAGGATATTTTATAAGTACAGAGGGTGCTTTTGATTTGAATCATTTGATGATTCCAATTCAATTTTTCTGTAGTTAGAGGTTCTTCTGGTAGAGCTCTATTTTGTGAAGTAAGCGTAGAAGATTAGTGATTCGAGAAGGTTTAGATGCTAAGGTAAAAGATAAGAAGGACCTGGATTTTTTGTGGGGTGGGGGTGGGAGGCTTACTCAATTTTAAGCTGATAATGTGAAGTTCAGTATCGTCATGACTTGTGTAGTTGTAAGTTGATTATTGGGATGGGATTTATTATGGTAAGTAGTAAAAGAGTGTGGAGCATGATATGTGGGTTAGGAACAAAAGAACTGATATTAAAGTGAAGAAGGGTTGAGTGTCAGACTCATTGTGTGTCAAGTTTTGAACTATGCACAGCTGGCCATGGAGGATTTCTTGCTTATCAGAAGAGGATTGGGGGGAGGGGAGGGTTTGACATACTCTTGTGTCTTACAAATGTGACACCTTCCTCCTTATCTTTTTAACTCAAAAGGATAAATTTCTAGTTTGGTTTTGTTGGGGAAATGACATATTGTTACCCTTTATACTTGGTGACAGAAAAATGGAAGTCATATTTGATGCTTCATAGGATTTTTTTTCTTTTTATATCTCTGGTTTCATTACCGAAATCCCGCATATCATTGGCCTCTTTACCTATTATTTTCATAGGCCAGGAAGAGTATGATTCTGGTAAAGGAATCTGTGTCCAATTGATATTTTTCAACTGAATGCTACCTCAGTAGGGACTTTAGTTCATGTATCATTCATCAAAGCTTAGGATTGATGACTATATATGTCTACTTCTCTTCCATATGGTTTGTTATGGAATGGCTTCATGGTAAGTATGCAGAATTGATGTTTTTGCTCTCATGCATGGTTTTTTCAGGTCGCAGGAGTTCCTGGAGTGAGAGAGACTATTTTTTTAGCCAGACAGGCTGCACTTGCAGAAGAGAAGGAAAAGTTAAGTGAAACTCCATTGCTATATGCCTGTGGTCTGTGTGACAAAGAGTATAGAAGCTCCAAGGCTCATGCTCAGCATCTGAAATCTAAAAGTCACCTAGCGCGGGCTTCTCAACAACCAGGTCATCCTAATGAGAATAGTGTTACAATCAAGCCGTTTCTACGCCACCCTCGAAATGAAACTTCACGCAAGGCTAAAGAGGAAATTGAGGAGAATGATGAAAGTGATGAAAGTGAATGGGAGGAGGTTGATCCAGATGAAGAGATGATTAGTGAAGCCACTGATTCTTTAACAGACTTGAAGATGAATGAGCATACATCTAATGGCAATATGGATGAAGATAGTGATGATGAATACGTTGGAAACTTAGACCCATCGTGTTGCTTCATGTGTGATAAAGAACACAAGACCATTGAGAGCTGCATGATTCACATGCACAAGAATCATGGATTCTTCATACCTGATGTTGAGTATCTGAAGGATCCCAAAGGGTTCCTTACTTACCTTGGTCTCAAGGTAGAATATGTGATTCCTCTAGACTTTTTTCCAGCCTTCCTTAACCATTTTCTGTGTTCACGATCTTTTTCTTTTTTCCTGTACAGGTTAAAAGGGATTTCATGTGCTTGTATTGCAACTACAGATGTCTACCTTTCAGCAGTTTAGAAGCAGTTCGGAAGCATATGGAAGCAAAGAATCATTGCAGAGTGCATTATGGTGATGGCGATGATGATGAAGAAGCTGAATTAGAAGAGTTTTATGACTATAGCAGCAGGTATAATTTCTAACATGTTTGCTTTCGATGTAATTTGGGTAGGATGAGTGTAGTAAGCACTATATTCTTTTCAAGATTTTTTTTTAAAAATAATTTAGGTAGGATGTGTGTAGTTAAGCTCTGTAGTCTGTACCTTTTGATATTGCTTCTGAGACTTCTCTTCGGTTGTAGCTTTGTTGATGAAACTGGGAAACAGCTCATTTCATCAGATGACACAGGCAACAGTGTGGAACTTGGAAGTGGTGGATCTGAGCTCATAATAACAAGAAGAAATAATGATGGGAGATCTGTTAGGACTCTTGGATCAAGAGAGTTTTTGCGATACTACCGACAAAAACTGAGGCCTACACGGACCAATGATGTGGCTATAAGTGCTGCATTAGCAGCAAGGTATGTATTTGATTTGTTCAAATGTGTCCATTTCATCACCTCAAAACTGTTATTTGAGCAAAACACCCTTTCCTTCCAGGTACCGAAGCATGGGTCTTGCAACTGTGCAGTCAAGAGAGCAAATGGTTAAGTTGAAGGTGTTGAGAGCCATGAACAAGTCTGGTGTGGAGATTATGCGCAGTAAGATTGGCATGAAAAGCAACGTCATTCGTAACCTCCCTAAGAATATACCATATTAGTCCTTTCGATAGTAATATTAGCCTTCTTGTAAGAGATTGTTTGGTGTTTCTGTTATTCCAACTTGTGTAATTCCTCATACTTCTTAACTTTTTTGATTTGTATTGTCATATTGATTGTTTGGAAGTGACTTTTATATCTATTTCTAGTCCTGTTACGGTCAATTCACCAGGAGGATCGCGTTCCCAATTTGATATCGTCGTGTTACAGGGCATGTCTAATCTTTTTGCTGCCACAACGTTGGCTATATGCAGAAACTCGAATACCCCTAGTTCTGGAAGGCACATGAGTCTATTTTGTTTGAATTCCTTTGACCTGATTCTCTCAAGTGCCTTAGTATACCCTTAATTATAGGTCTCGAAGCTTGAATAAGGAAAATTCATGTTATAACAAGTCATATGTCACACACCTACCCCCTCTAGCTTTACTACATGTTGACCATCTCTTTTATAATAGCCTTACTTTATAGCAACTATAAAAGGATTTTGAATTTATTATTATCCTCAAAGTTGCTATTAGTCTAAGAGTAGGACTCTAGTATTATACACTTTTTTTTTAATCTTCCACACGATATCTGATATTCACATTAAAATTCAATTAAATTCAAATACACACTGAAAAGTCTCATATTAGGGGATAAATCATAACAAAGGAAACTTTGTATCAGGGGACTCGAAGACTCTAGTACACACTTAATTAGTGGAAAAATAAAAAGAAATTATTCTTCTATATATGAATTTCCCCAACAAATAAGTGACATTTTTCTAATTATGTGGAATAAGCCTAAACAAGTTTTGACTTTGCTTAAATAAGTGTGACTAATTAACATGGTAGCTCAATTTTTCTAGCTTTTCTTGACAATAGACAATTTTATTATCAATATCAAAACATGACAAGTTATTGTCAAATCAAAAAAATGACTTAGTATATTCTAATATTCTTCCAAAAAGATTAGATCAAAATGGAGGTGTGAAAAGAAATATATATATTTTTTAAAAATAAATTAATCTAGATGACTGTTCACCTAATCACTTAAATTATAAATAACATGAATGTATATTTTAATTTCTTAAAAAAAAAATTATTTAGTGTTTGATATCCATATTGAATTCGACTAATTAGGAATAAAGGCGTAAAGTGCTCCATAACAAAAGGTCCAGAGACACTCTTACCTGATAAGAACGAAAAACTACTTACCACTCCAACAATCTTTGTTGGTAACAACTGCTTTATTACGAATAGAAAAACCGTTTTCGAAATACCGTTATTTATATTTACATCTCAAATTAAAAGAAATGAATACACTTAACCTAGCTATGTAGAACTTTATTTTTCTTGACTTTTCCATTTCACTTTTCTTTTTTCAACATATAAATACATTATTCTATATTTTTCTGCTCTTTCCCCTTCAATCTTCTTCTGGCTGTTCTTGATTTCTTACAAATTACTCAGGTTTGATCCACCCCCTTAAAAAAATTTGTTCTTTTTCTCTATGGGTATTTTAGATTAGTTTGAATGATCCATTACTGTTTTCATTTTCTGTATTGGTTGACTTTTTTTCCATAAAAAATGAATCTTTCTTGGTCAAAATTGATCTTTTTAGGGTTTTTTTTTTATGTTAAAGATTGATTTATCTGTTTACAGCACTTGATGTTGAAATTTTGGTATTTGGGGCATACCCTTTATCTGGTTTTGATTTTTCTATTTGGTGGCCTCTTTTGTTGCTTTGTGAATTGGTGAAATGATGCAGTGAGAAATGGGTATAATTGAAGTTTTTTATTAATCTGATAGTTAAGTAGAGATGTAGAAGAGAAAGAGAGGAAGTTAGAAATTGAAAGATGGTCTCTTGTACTTGGATTATTGCACTTTTATGGTGTAGTTACTGTTCCTTTTTTCGGAATGCCTTGTCATGCTTTCTGTCGTATTTTGTTATGATCCCTTCACTTTGTTATTTCCTTTCTGATCTGTTTTGATATGCTTTTCGTTGAGCTGAGGGTCTATTGAAAACGTCAATACCTCCCAAAGTAGGGAGTTAAGGTCAGGGTATACGCTACGCTCCCCAGACATCACTTGTGGGCTGACACTAGGTATGTTATTGTTGTTGTAGAGATTGAAAGATAGAGAGGAAGTTAGGTTTAATTCCTAGCAGAGGCAAAAACGCCATGTGATTTCTTTCTATATGTCCAAGCCTTGGTTGATAGAGTTATCCGGTACTTGGGTTGGTGGGAGGTTGCAAGTGCTTGTAGTCGAGGTGTGTGCAAGCTAGAGAGTGTATAGAGTGTGAAGTCCTCGTATAAGAGGTATAGCGAATCTAAAAGAATATGATTATCTACGAGGTACATCCATTCATCTATACTAATTGAAATCTCATGGCTGCACCAAAGATATACAAAAAATAAAAGATTGCCTCGATATAAATGTATTTTCTATCTTCTCTAAAGTTCTCCTATTCCTTTTCTTTAGTATAATTAATAGCACCAAGAAGCGGCTGTCAAAAGTATTTAAAAAAAAACCAGAACTATATTCCTTCTATTTTAAAGGGAATCTATGAGATTTATCACTGGTTCAGTATCATTTACATAGCTCTGTTTACACCAAAATAAAACAAAAGCAAGCAAATTCATTTTGATCTTCTGTATAGAATTTCCTTTGTCTACAAAATATTTGGAGTTTCTTTCTCTCTAAATAGTCCACCAAATGCATGTTGGGATAGTTTGGAATTCGTTCCTTTTTGTTTTTCGAATAATTCGAAAGCTCACTTATATGTCCCATGCTCCAGTTAAGTTCCACCATATTAAGAAACAGCTACCATAGTTGATCAATGAAATGACAATGCAAAAAAAAAAGATTATTTATACTCTCCGGTTTTTCTCCACGTATAAATTAGTTAGAGCATAACTGAAATCATCTCCTTTGAATGGCATGTGTTAAGCTTGCTTCTCGAACAACGAACCAGGTAAAATATGCCACTTTATATGGAGCACTGGTTTTCCAAGTTAACATCCATGAAATCTGAACTGTAAGATCCCAAGGGGCAATATCTCAAGCTCTGCATCTTTTCCGCGCGTGAAGTTCCAATTGAGATGGAGTATTACATCCTTGACTATAGCTGGCATCATCAAATGCGGAATATGTTCAAAAAAGTTTCCCACACTAGGTAGCGACCTGTCAATGCAACAAGAGGTGCCCTAAATCTTTCTTTCCCGCGAACTTGCACATGTGACGCATTCACGCATCGTATCCCTTCTCTTTCTCAGATTTTCAGTTGTGACAATAGCCCCTCTTGCTGCCTACAAGTCATGTCATTCTCCTGAAAGAATGAGTACAAGTATCTGATTTGTCCACATTTGAGTTCAATAGTTGATCATTTGGTATTTTGATGTACAAATTATTTTTTAATATCGAATCTTCTTATAAAGAATCAATATTTGCATCTTCTTGAGGAAGTTTTTCCATACTTTACCTTTACTCAATTACATTTTAATTCTCTTTTTTTGATAAGTTGCAATTCATGATGAATCAGTTGTCTGCCTCCAGAGTTTAATAGCCTTCACTGATTAGCTTACTCTTCTTTTAGTTGTTATCTTTCTTTTTGTTTTTTGCTTAATGGTTCTGAGACATTTTTTCTCTTCTGCCCTGTGAGTTCAGGCTTGTTTAAGGGAAATGTTTGTGTACTCATATTATACTGTTGCTTTTGTTTGCATAATTTCACAGTTAGTCATCTCGATATTATTTGATCCTGATCAGAGGAAGGGAGATGCTGCATGCTGACAGGAAGTTGGTCTTTAATCTCTCCCATCATTGAAACTTCAGACTGAAAGGAGTTATGACAAAGTTTTCTATGGAGGAGGTGGAGCTGTATACCAATTGGGATGATGTCTTTTGTCCCATTTGCTTGGACTTCCCTCACAATGGCGTTCTCCTCCAGTGCTCATCTTATGACAAGGGTTGCAGGCCTTTTTTGTGTGACACGGATCATTTGCATTCCAACTGTCTAGAACGCTTCAAACAAGCACATCGGGTGAAAGCTGGTTCACCATCACTTTCGATATCCAATGGGAGAGAAGATGTGATAAAATCGGAGGCCAACAGCTGGTCGGCCTGCCCCTTGTGTAGGGGAGAAGTTACTGGATGGGTTGTTGTTGAGAAGGCTCGCGTACATCTCGATGTCAAGGAACGCTGTTGTGAAGAGGATAAATGTAGATTTAAAGGTACCTATGTGGAACTTCAGAAACATGCTAAACTTGACCACCCTCATGCACGCCCTTCAAAAATAGATCCTGCTCGACAGATTGATTGGGATAACTTTCAGCAGTCCTCTGAAATAATAGACGTCTTGAGTACTATACATGCAGAAGTTCCCCGAGGTGTTGTTTTAGGTGATTATGTGATTGAATATGGACATGATAATTCTGATGATGAATTTGAGAATTTCCCTTCAGCGGAAGGAAACTGGTGGAGATCATGTATCTTGTATCAAGTATTTAATAACTTTAGGACGTCTAGAAACAGAAGAAGATCTAGAGTTAGTAATGCAAGAAGAGGAAACCGCCATTTGGGTTATGATGCTTCAAACTCTGATGAGAGTTCTGTGACATCTGTAGAATATGTGGACTATGGGGTTGAGGAGCTTGAGGATGGTTTTGTAAGGATTGCTGGCCTCCCAAGGAGAAGAGCTGATAGTCGCAGGTCAGTAACTTCTAGACAGATGGCCTTCATTTTCATATGCACTACATTTTTTTTACGCTCATCTTGATTTGAGGATGTTTTAGCCACTGCAAAATGTGAGAATCCATTATTGTAGATCTCTATTCTCTTGTTGGACTGCCACCTCAAATCAAGCTTTTATTGCGGCATGCTCTAGATCAACGGCTCGCTATTCCCTTCTGTAGTTGTGATTCCCCAGGCCCTTGTGTTGCTTCTTGTGAAGAGAGGGTCAAACTAACTGCACCCCACGTTATATGTTTTCTGAGCAGATTATTCACACATTTTGATGCATTAGATATTCTTTCTATGATTCTTATAAACTTTTCTGAGTTTTTCAGTCAAGTGCTAACCTTCTTCTGCCTCGTAAATCGTGTTCAACGGAAACATTTGACTGTCCGTCATTTGTTATGGTAATCTGTTTTTAATATATCTGACTAACAGTAGGATGATACACTGTTAACCTTTCAATACTGAACCAGTTACTAATCTAACAGTAGTTCACCAATTTGGGGAAGAGGTGTTAGACAGGACATGGGACACTTGCAGAGCTTACCAAGGACATGATCCTAGTTAGGAAGATATGGAGGTCGAAGACTAGGGTAAAAGTTTAGTAGGTAGTTGATCATTGTCTAGTCTCCCCTATCAATAGTGTTTGTTATTAGTCGCATACTATCTTGTTCTTCGATTCAATTATTACATTTTGTTTCCCTTGCTTCGGTTGCCCATATTATGTGTTAATGCTACTGTTTCTCTTCTCCATTATGTTCAACATGATTGCTTCATTATTATATCGTTCTTTTCATTCTTGATTTTATCATGCTTTACTTGAGCCGGGAGTTTATCAAAAACAACCTTAGAGAGGTAGGGGTAGGGCTGCGTACACACCACCATCCTCTGACCCCACTTGTGGGATTACACTAGATATGTTCTTGTTGATAGTGTCGCTGTTGTAAATGTTCAGTCTGATTCACAACTTTTTATTTTTTTCATGCTTCCTTTGTGGCACAGTTCTCGAAGACGACATTCCCGCTTCTATGACAATTAGGTAAGTACTTCAACTGAAATCCTTCACCACCATCACCACCCCCACATAATGGTCTATTGGACATGGATTATTTTCCTTGAAGATATCTTAATTAGAATTAGGTGCAGGAACAACACTTGATCTGGCTTGCACCTGGAAAAGGATCGGGAGCTGTATTCCCCCTTTTCCCTTCCCCGCCCCATCCTTCAATGGTTCCCCCCAACTACGATGGTTGCTTCCCGTTGCTCCAGTAATTAGATCGTTCTTACTGGTGTTTTTTTTTTTTTTTTTGCATGTTCTAGGAATAATAAGGATCAACTGGAAAGACTGGAGCGTATCTTTCGTTCACCTGAAAACTAGCAATTACTTATCAAGTTCTTGTGTTCATGGTGGACTAGCGCCCACGATATGAGAAGGGAAAGGTTAAAATCTCTTCGTTTAGTTGTGGTGCAAACGATTGTAAGTGTGATGCTTGCCCGTGATAAAGTGAAGGCTTCATAGATAGTCTTTAGACAATTTAACTTTTGTAAACATAACGTTTCGAATGGATTTTATTGTTATCTTTTGTAGACTGCAACTGCTTTAGATCCTTCAGAAATTTCCAAAAAGGAGTAAATATTAACTTCCTATTTTGTTCATAGTGTGAATATTGCATTTTGTTCACTAATGATGGATATATTGATAGTTAACTTTGGTGAATGATCTTCATTTTGATGCAAATAAAAAACATCTCCTGGATGACAGCTAGTCTTCGTAATAAAAGAGACATTTGGTGATTAGCTCATGACCTTGTTTGGAAGGAACGTTTATTAAAGTGTCATTCACGATACATAAAATATTCAGCCAGAGCTGCTCGTGTAGACGTCATGTTTCAGCTACCACAATAGTGTATTCCATCAGAAATAAGATGCAACCAAACATGTCTGGTCTACATTAAAGAAGTGAGACAACCCAATTAGACAAAATAAGGTACATTCATCAGCAAGTTCAAAGCAAATTTAAACATTCAAACCAGTTATCGACATCACCCCCGTTACTACCACGAAAGGAATCTCGAAACGAGTAATCTATCAATGGTGGCAACTACAGTTAACATTGGTAAGTTGAGTGAATCAGATATTTAGAGATACATAGTAGTCAAGAGTTGTATCCTCCAACACATATATAGCTTTTGAGAAATCAAGAGGATGACAACAATGCAATAACCTCACAACCATCAGATTTATGTGATCACAGAGATTTGTTAGCAGGCATTACATCATTCTTCTCTTGAAGCAGGATCTAACCCAGCAGACGGGCTATCAGCAAAGTAGTCTTGATGTTTGACGTTTACACCATACTGCAATGCAAATCAAAGGTTACGGGGAACTAAAGTAAGCAAAGTTGAAACACTAATATGCAAAGAATATCGCGGAAGTGATAAAAATATTGACATCACAAGGACAACCTTTGGAGAGGAGGAAACGAGAGAGGTTCTACAGGGAAGGAGAACACCTTACTACCCATGAGAGCACGTTTTGTTCTTCTAAATAATTTTGGAGCATCCATAAGGTCCCGGTCCCAGTTGGTATTAGATGATTTAGTAGCTCTTTGAAGAGAATTACATTTTTAAATGTGAGGTTACTTTTTATACACCCATGGTAGTATGCCCGATTGCATCGATTAAATCATTACCTTAACAAAAATATTTTTTAAAAAAACAAAAATTAAAATTTAAAGAAGGATCTATAGACAAAGAGCTTTATGTCAACAAAGGCAGCCCGGTGCACAAAGCATCTCGCGTTAGCAGGGTTTGAGGAAGGGTCGAGCCCAAGAGGGTGTGATGTAGACAATCTAACCTAATGTTAGCATTAGTAGTTGCTTCCATGGCTTGAGCGTGTGACCAATAGGTCACATGGAGACAACTTTACCATTGTTTCAAACAATGTGAATCACTTCTTTTATATCAGCATGTCCGGATCCACTTGTGTGCATCTCGACTATCCTACATGTACTTGCTACCACCCACCAGCATAGGTACCGGGTAAATATACCCAACAAGGCTTAAATGGATGGGAAAAATCACCTAGTTTTTTCTTGTCTCCGCGGGAATTTGAACCGGAAACCTCATTGGTTCTCCCACTTCATTGACCACTAGGTCACACCCTCGGGTGCTACAATATGAATCACTTTTCAAGTTCACATAGGAAAATGCCACATCAAGCCGTGATCAACCAGCAGATTCTGCTAAAAGCGCTTATGCATAGGCTCCATCCTTATTTCTTGATCGTCTTGTCACTATCTCTAATATACTCACTGTAAACTATTTAACTAGGAAAACACATTTAGAAAGAAAAAAAAGTAAAAACAAGTATACCACTTCAACAAAGAACTATGGGAGACTGCTTACCGAATAAATAAGATGAAATTACAATGATGAATAACTTTTTATTATTTTTTGATAGGCCAGCAAAGAATGATTACCTCTCGTAGAGATTTTGAAAGATCATCCATTGTCAAGGTAAGGCGTTTGTCCTGCTAAAACAGAGTTAGAACCAATAAACATAAGAAAATGAAAAGAGAAATAGGTGACGCACCTTTTGCTGCTTATCTCTTTTGTCCTTGACAATAGTTGACTGCCTTGCCTTGCAATGTCTGCATTACCATGAAAAATAAGAAAATTAATCTGATAGAAGCTCGGTTTCCAAGAAACATAAAACAAGAATTTCAAAATTCAACTATATTTCTTGTCTCAACACAAAAAATGAGGGTCTCTTTATCCTGGTCTACCCACAACTCATCAACTTTCCTTCCTTCAACCACTGTCATCTTGTTGTCTCAACCATATTTCTAGTCTCTACACAGAATACCAATGGGGATACCCCTTGCTCCTGACATATCCTCAACCTTTATTGACCTTCCTGCCTTCAACCACTGGCATTATGTTGTTTCGCTGTTGGAATGGCTCCTTTTCATAAATATCCATTTCTTTCGAAACATGAAGGATACATAAGAGACCATTCACAAACTCTTATTCTTTCTTCCAACGAAAAAGCCATACTCTATCCTCAAAAGACTCACAGCATTTCATGAGTTTTACAGCATTACGACTATTGAAGGCAAAATAGTGAGTAAAGTGAGGCATTCACGAAATCTTGAGTCTATAACGAAACAAAACACAACTGATTTGCCACAGTTGAGAAGATCTACTACATTCCATTAGAAACATTAGGAAAAGAAAGTTCAGAGAAAGTTGGATGCTTTGTTATTTTTAATCATATATTCTGAAACAAGATCTTTCTACATGTTTACTTAAGTCGTATCTTAGTGTCTTTATATTGTATTTTTCTGTTTCTTTGTCTCTTTTCTAAGGTTTTGGGGTGTCACAGACAGTAAGCTCCTGAGGTAGTAGTATTATTGCACTAACAATAGAGAATTTCAGGTGTTGCATTTTTGGTAGTGTAGTCTAGTTAGGATCGGCAGTCTTTGAAAATAAAACAGGCCTGGATTCTAAAACTACCAACTTAATGTTTCTAATTCATTAGAGACAAACCAAAAAGAGTTTTTTTTTTTTTTTTTGAGGTTTGGGGGAGGGGGGCAACTTGAACACTTAACAATTGGAAGTATCATACAATGACAAACACCTATAATCTGTCTATACCTCACTCGGTTCAGTAAGATAAAGATATGGTTTGATGTGTGAGGCCTCGCTTCACTAACAAAAGTCGCTTCCTCGTGAACTCCGTTAACTAGGCGCCCCTCTAGACAGGCACAACACAACAATTGCATTGAAGCCTCAAGAGTAAGGGACAATCAATGAGCAATATGCCGAAGAATTAGCAGCATACTTAACATAAGATGGAGGCTGAAACAAAATTCAAGAAAGATAAAATAATTAAGAAACATACTGGAGAGCATCAGTGGCAACATCTGCAATAAACTTCTGTGTAGCAACTGCCACCAACCTTATTCTGCATATCCAAAGGATAAACTCAATATAACAATACGGTATTAAAAACTGATAACTTAAGATAAACTAGCCATCACTGTCAAAAGAAACATCAAATGCTACAATATTAAAATTTACAACTAGGAAAAAGGTAAATACCAATCCAATTCACATATACATAAATTTTATTTGAATTTACTGCTAAACCAGAAAAATAAAAAACGATCAAAACAAAAATGGAACTTAAAGCAGAGAATAATGTCGCTTAGTCACTGTTTGATTGCTATGAATATAAAGATATTCAGCTACTTGCTCATCATAAAGATATTCAGCTACTTGCTCATCTAATTGTCCTAAAAATGGGTATTGCCTTGCGGCTCCACTAACAACCCACCAAGATGGTGTATTATTGTTTACTGACGCAGGTTTACAGGTGGATACTGGACTGGCAAGTATTGGTGTTGCAGCTTTGGAAAGCCTTGGGAAACTGATTCATGCCCATGTTTCCTCAATCCAGTTTGTGGGAAAAGCTATGACTGTTGAAGCACTTGCTATAAGAATGGCTCTTGAACGTACAATCAGGAACGATTGGAAGGATGTGAAAATTCTATTGGAAGCAAAGAGTGTTATTGATATGATTCAGAAAAAAGTTTACTACCTCATGGGAGATAGAAGTGACTTGTGAAGACATTTGGAAGCTATAAACTTTGCTTGATCATGTAGACTTTGTTCATATTCCTAGAAATCTAAACAAAACTAGCACATAATTTAGCTAAGTTTTCTACCACTTCGTTGAAGGAAATATCTTGGGAGGACTTCCCCCAAGCTGGATTGTAAATCATTATATAGGCACCTTTGCCCAATTTATTTGTTTGCTGCAGTAACATAATATCTCCCTTTGACCCCCCAGGGCTCAGCTCACTTGGCAAAAGTGTAGAGCTTTCGCTACACCAAGCAAACTAAACCTAGTAATTAAGTGGAGAAGGATTGAGGAGCGCGTCCATCATATTCAAGTTTCAAAGACTATGGTTGGCTCAAGACAGAGGATAAACCTAGTGAAAATAGTTCTAGATAAACACACGAAAATTATTATCTTCCTTTTGAGCAGTCGAAACAATTTTTCTATAACTAATCTAAGCAGGCTAAATTGCAGAAACATCAACATAAGAATGGGAACAAGGTACATACAATCGAACGTCAGGACATTGAAATCCACTTTTACCCAAGTAATGCTCCACTAATTCATCAGGAATCTGATCAAAAGCGTTAACCTTCATAAATACAACATAAAATTGATCTCGCCTATAAGAAAAAGGGCAAAAAGCAGCTCACAGTGGGAGTATAGTCCATTAAGGAAGCAAGGAAATCGGCTAGAACAGCATCATCCTCGTGTCTTCCTTCACTTGTTTGCTGACCTTGACTTTGGTTCATCTTCACCGTAGAAACAGAGTCAACGGAGGATCGACGGCGGTCGGAGTTTCAATTTCGCCGGAGGAAAATTGGGGAAGATGGAAGTATTTTTATGCTTTTACTTTGAGAAGGAATTGGAAGAAGAAATTGAAGAAAATATTATTATAGAAATACTATAGTTTTGTAATTATTTTTCTAAAATTCAAAATTATTTTTTCTCCTCTATTGTGAAAAAAAATAAACGAGACAAAGAACCCAAAATAGAGGGGAAAATTGCATTTTTGTTAAGTGAAATTCGTTAGCGGAGAAAGGTATATTTGTTTCACCTAGCTAACGATAATGGTACTTTGTGTAAAAAAAAAACGAATGATATTACGTTTTATTGGCGCATACCACGGTGGGGTCTTCGACTGGGGTGCATGACATTCAAAGAAAAAGGCTACAAAAATAATGACATAATTTAATATATTTTTTCTCTATTGAATCTAACGTGATTAAAATCCACATTGAAGCATATATACTCATAATCACTTCTCTTAGCCACTTTATTCTTCTCTATGATAGAAGATTAAAATGAATTATATTATTGTTTGCTAATCGGCTTTGATATTATTTGGTAACTAATTTAATTACAATACAATTGAGTAACTTTAGTTGATATGTCAAATGATTTGGCAAGCGCAACTTATAAATCACATTTCACAAACATGACTTAAATTACATTTGATTAGTATCGCTTATAAATAACATTAGATAAGCATAACTTATAAATCACATTTGAATAATAGCTCAATTAAGATATCATGTTCGAAAAATACAACTCATATATCATATTTGACAAGTACGATCTATAAATCGCATGAATAAGCACAATTCATAGATCACATTTGACCATCACAGTTTATCAAACACAACTTGTAAATCACACGACATATAAAATCGCAATTGATAAGCATAAACACCACATATGCACATACTTTCAAAATTCTTCAAACAATTCATTCTCTATATCAATATATCATAAATTCTACTCTCTCTATTCATTATTTTAAAAATATATCTCAATTTTATTTTTTTCCATTTAAAAATTAAGAAACAATTTATCATTTTGATACCTATTTAACTTTTATTATTGAGTACTATTTATTTTCTAGCGAAATAACTTCTAATAATTATTGATGATTTCTTGAGAGGTGTATCGAGTCGGAATAACAATTATAAGGAAGCATATTACTCGAAAATGAAATTTTTTTCTAACTCTTTGTTATCTCAACCAAAATTGAGTACAATTTCCCGAATCTCAAAATTGAAAAATTAAACCAAAATGGAAAAATCCCAAAAAAAAAAATGGACAAAATTGCTCTGCTTTTTTTTTCAAAGCTCAGTGGCTTCATCAATGGCCGATTTGAGATTCTTCATGAGCTTGATCCATAACTTCCATTGCAATTACTTCATCTTTCGACTTTTCATCATCAAATTCTTCAGTTTCCTTTTCCAATTTCTTCTCAATTTTATCACCAGCACCAAACGAATTACCTCTGCTTGAAATAGGCGTAGCCAAAAAAGTTGGATTCAAATCTCCAGCCATTATCACTACAATTTTCACCTCCAAAACCGGCGACGCCTTGAAAACATCATCGGCCGATTTCTCGCCGGCGCCGGATTCTGCATCGCCGTTTTCTCTCGGATAGCCGGATCTTCTCCAGTAAGAACAAGCTAAGATTACTAAAGCAAAAGTTATTAATACTAGCATGGATGCTACGCCGGCGAAGAGATACAGCGCCGGTGAATGCCATGGCGATTTCTGAACGATCGCCGATGGGGAGATTGATGGAGAAGCAGTAGTAAAGGTACTTACTGTTCGCATTTTTAATTTTTTTATTTTCGAAGATGAAATGTCTAATGTTTTTTTTTTTCGATCCAAGAACTTATTGGATTGTTACTAGCAAAACGAATATTAAGTTTTTTGAAGAAAGAAAATAAGAAAAATAAAACTTGCTTGGCTTGAGAAGTGCAAAGATGGTAGATGTGTCATGTGTGTATTTATATAAACAATTTTAGTGGAGGAATAGGGAAGAGAGAAAAAAGGAAGTTAAAAAGAAGGATGAAGTGATCAATGGGGAATCATAAAATTTAATGAGAAAAAAAAATATATGAAAGGACATTTTATCTTTTTTAATAAAGAAAAAATTACATAAATACTCACTCTGACTACTTTTAATTGTCATGATGTGATTTTCGAAAGTTAATTTGACTAATTTTCAAAATTAAATTAGATTATACTAATTCGATATTTAAACAAAAAAATTTGATATTCAAAAAGTACTATAAATTCCAATTTTTTGCATATCAATATGATGAAAAATTATATCGTAAAATGTTAGTCAAAATTATTATCGTTTGACTCTAAAAAGAAAATTATGACAATTAAAAGTGGACGGAGGTAGTAAGATATATCATATTCTCTAAAATTTCTTGTCATTTAAAAAATTACAAAAATTCACACTCAGATACATCCCTCTCATTATGTAATATATCATTTGCAAGCATCGGACATCCATAGAATGTATCCGAGAATAATAAAAAATTTAGGATTTTTGTAATTAAGGAAACTTTTGAAATAGGATGTAATTAGCCCCTAAATGCATGAGATTTTTGTACTTTTTTATACTAATAATAATCATTTCATATGTTGATGTTTGGTGATTCGATTAATCTGACTTCGTATCGCATAGTGAACGAGACAGTTAGTTAGAAATGTCATGATATCCTTAGCTCTCTCTATCTCGCGAAACATATACTAGAATATATGTGTGACTCGTTTAGATCTCGAACTTATTGAAATTTAAAAAAGAAACATTTCTTATTACTTATGAATTTATCTATTTTTAGAATTTTAAACTCAAAATCTCTAATAGAAAATGAAGAAATCGCCTTCATCTCATCAATGACGTTGCTTTAATGGTAAAATAAACAAATCTTTCATTTGAATTATTGCTATCGATACTAAGTGGAAAAAACACTCAAGCTTATGAGTAAAGCAGCAATAATCATTGAGCAAAAAAGAGAATTAAAAATATCATTAGTGGAGTAAAGTGATCGTATCATTATAATTCTTTATGAACTAAAGTATCATTATCTCATACTTATCAACTAAGCTTAGAGATGATGTTAATAATTAAATGTTGGTAATTAGTGTTGAAAAATAGCAAGTTATTAAAACTTTTTTTCTCTGTTAAATTTTATGTCAAATCATATCATACCACGTAAAATTAAATACAGAAAGCACGTAATTCTGCTAGCCCAAATGGTTTTGTCTTGATAAAATTTTATTTGCGCCTAATAATTATATCAAATTATAATTTATATAGTAATAATTATGTGAAAAAAAACAAGTGTTACATATTTTTGTTAAATTAGTGTAAAGTGTAAACGCCAAATGCGGCAGCTGTACAGTGTAAGAATAGTTGCAAATTTTTTATGAGAACTTCTTTTAATTTTATATTACATAATTGTAAATAGTTTTATTTTAAAAAGATAAAGTTGAGCTACTTTTATTTTCATAGTGAACAAATTATACCTTTTTAAAAAATGAAAATCGTCACTAACTTCATATATTTTTTGGTGGGAGGTGATATGTTTTTTTAATATAATGTATATTGGTTAGAGAATATTTGATAATCTATATGGAGCCCTTCATGGTTCGCCACATCTAATTAAGAAAGTTCTAAAATAAAATAGCACTTACTTTTGTTGCTATGAAATTAGTTTTATATTATTATTAACGGTGAGATGAGACGGATAAAATTATTAATTTTTTTTAGAGATTTTAAGTTTGAATTTTTAAAATAAAATTAGTTCGGGATAGAGAGTGTTTTTTAATAGGTTTTATTTTATATGAATTTAAATTAATTAAATTAGTGAATATCGAATATCAGATAATTATTTTAAAAAAAAGATTTACTTTTTGCTTTGCGTCGTCCTTTCAAATTATCGATTCTACTATCAAAATGGATTAAAGAAGTTCTCACATAATAATATTTTTTTTGTAAGTGGAAGAATTCGAATAGATAATATTTTAAAATATTTTAGCCACTTTCTTTGAGTTGGATGACGACGTAAAATATCAAAAGTCTTAAACTATTTGTTTTGATTATTCTTATGATAAAATGAATATAATTTTTTTATTTTTAATTAAAAATTTGTGATTTAAACTTAGAGAATTGAAAATAACTCTAATAGTTCGGGAAAGGGCAACACTTTCCCTTTTAATGACTCTTATACAACATGAATATATATTAGTCGGGAGTCTAAAATGAATATCAAATGTTGAGAGAAACGAAAGAAAATTGTCCAGTTCAGAACAGAAATGACAAATGGTAGGACTACATTATCAGTAATTTTTTTGATATTCTACTTGGTGTTTGGATATGCAATGCAGCTTGATTAAATTTGAATTGACATTGAAAAGCAAAATGCGCTCTAACAAATATGATTTTGCATTTAAAAAATCTAATTAAAGATGAAAGAATCCTCACGATGCTTATATAATATATAGCATCAATATAAATAATTTTTACTACAATCAAACCATATTTACTCATTATAGCACATATCTTATTTTTACTAATATTTTAAATTCCACATAATTAAGGAGATTTACTTATTGTCATCTTTTGAATAACTTACTAATATGAAAAGAAAAAAGAAATTACAACGATGTATAAAATTTGAACTCTTTGTATATCTCAAACAAAAATTACAGTCTCCGAAATGTCAAAATTGAAAATCCTAACTAAAAGTAGGATTTTTAAATATTAAAAAAAGAAAAAAAACCGTCAACCAATTTGGTACAATGGATAGGTTGTTTCTTCGTTAACTAGGGAGTATTTTCCTAATGGATTTGTGTAAGTACAAATCTCAATTAATCGAGCTTTGATGTGAATATTAACGCCTTTTGAGCTTAGTGGCTTTGTTCATGATTTTGGTCCATATTTACTTGATCTTTCAGCTTCTCATCAGCTAATTCTCCATTTTCCATCTCCAATTTCTTCTCGATTTTACTTCCATTTTCATCTCCAAACGAAGAGCTTTTGCTCGAAATTGGCGTAGCTAAAAAAGTTGGATTCAAATCTCCAGCCATTATTACTACAATTTTCTCTTCATAAATCGGCACAACCTTACATAAATCTCCGGCAGATTTCTCACCGGCGCCGGATTCCAGATCATCGCCGCCGTCTCTAGTCTCGCCGGAGCGTTTCAAATAAGAACAAGCTAAAATTACAAGTGCAAAAGCTATTAACCCTAGCATCGCTGCAACACCGATGAATAGGTACGCCGCCGGAGAATGCCACGGCGATCTCTGAAAACTCTCCGCCGGCGAAAATGTAGTTTTTACCGTTGGTTCTATTGCTGCCATTGTTGACGGAGTAGTAATAAAGGTACTCACAGTTCTCATCTTCTTTTTTTTTTGAACTATTTTTTTCTTCTTCTTAGTTTGAGAAATGAAGAAATGATGTATATGTGTATTTATAATTAGTTTGTAAAAATGGAATAAATTGTTAATGGGGAATCAAACAATTTTAAAAGGGAAATTATGTCATAAATTTTTAAGAGGGAATAAATAATATTTTATAATTATTCTCTTGTTTTTTTAATTTCTCATCTGATGTCCGGAGCCTGCATTGAAACTTCGATTAAATTCGAATCATGCACTGCGAGGTCCATTCGAAGATGGTGCTTCTAATAACATTTTCTTCATATCTAATACTCGAACAAGAGATCTCTGATTAAGGGGAATATAACATTTTTCCATTTTCTATTTTTTTTAAAAAAAGTTTGCTTTTCTTTATGAAATATCTTCTTTTATTGCATGAGAGTTCATTTCTTAGTTGAATTTAACTTATAGTATATAGTTTTTACATAACTAATATATTATTTTATTATTATTAAGCTTAAACGTTATGAATGATTACTTGTATTTATATTTTAGGTGATACGATAGTGTAACTATAATTTGAATGATAGAGTATTTTAATATGATTGTTTACAAATTGAATACGATAAAAGTTAATCATCCAAATAGGGACTTGAAAAGATAAAGAAAAATTGTAACGAAGAAGAGTCTAATTTCTGCGTATGATGTGAAATTTGGACTTGGCATGAGAATCAATAAAAAAATTGACATGCGAAAGCATCGATTTCATTTGAATTAGACACGTAATGAAGTCTCTGATCCTAGTGTGACAACATTTTAGAGTTGGTGCCACCAGTGTAGGTGGGACTGATCACATACATTTTAGAATTGGTGACAATACTTGGCTTTTTTACCCCTTTAAGTAAACTCTTGCATGAGAGAAGAGAACACCTCAAATACCTTATCTTTGATCGAGGAATTTACTGAACTTCAAATTATGAATTCGTCTTTTTTACTTTAAAAGTAAACATGGGAAAGTCTAGGATGGAAGTTTGATCCTATCTGTTTCCATATGTTCACTCAACTTTAATTTAATAATATTCCTATTTTTCACAAGGAATATGTCTCTATCATGATAATGATAAAAAAATGAAAATGGATTTTTATATTGGGCCCCAAATAGTGGGCCTTGTTTTGGGCTGAGGTGCAATAGTTAAGTCCACACATTTAAGCTACAGGAAAAAACCACTTAGATTTTTCTCCTTTCTCAATCATTAAGCAAACAAGTGAATTAATAATAGGATTGGTGGGTAAAGCAACAACAAAAAATATATTGTATTTTTTTTTTAATATTTGATTCCATTCTCTTTCATACATATCCATAATATTAGATTTTTCTTTTTCTTTTTTATTTAGTCTCATCATAACTTTTTGGAGAGAAGTATTGAAAACAGTCTTAAAAATACATTTTTAATTAAATTATTGATAGCTTTAAAAATATTTTTTTACTTGACTATCTGAACCTAAATACACCCCCAATCTGGCAATATGAGTGAAATACAAGGGTGTTTTCATCACTTCTCTCGGTTTTTTATTAAGAGTTTCATGTTCGTACAAGAGTTTGAGATGACTTGCTATGTCATGTGGTAGATCGGGGTTGTATCTAAGTTTAGTTAGTCAAGTAGAAGAGTGTTTTTAAGGCTATTAATAGTTCAAGAATGAAACTGATACTTTGCATCAAGTTCAGGAGTGTTTTCAATACTTCTCTCTAACTTATTATTTTGATACTTATCGCTTTTTCAGAATAAATTTTGCTAATTCTTAAGAGTAAAAATAATTTATAGATTTATAATTTAAAATTTAAAAAGTTAAATGAATTGTATTATAAAACTATATTTTTTTTCATATTAAAGATACATTCTAAATTGTTATTTGAAGTACACATACAATGAATCTAGTTACAAACATTTGAGATAGAGGGGAAAATGTGAGAATCTTCATGAACAATGTGACATCATTTTTTTTTAAAATAAAAAGAGAACTACTTTCATTTTCATAATAGGCCACTTCTATCTTAAGAAAATATAATTCATTAATGGTGTAAAATTCTTATTATAAATATATATATTCTTTGGTGTAAGAATATATTTTTGTTGTATATAGATGGCATATTACTTTTTTGTAACCCCCTTTATTATGTGTTTCCGCATGCCAAAAGGACAAAAGAGGCCTATCCCATCATTAAAATTGTTGCAAGTGGAAAAAATGGTTTAATCACTAACACAAAATAAAACAAAAAAAGGAACAATATATAGTGTATTAAGAGTAGATAATGTTTTTTATAAAAAAAATATTCTCAAAGTTTATAGAGTACAAGAGTTGTATGAACTTTTGCACCCTTATTATTATTATTATTATTATTATTATTAGTATTATTAGTAGTAGTAGTATAATATGTATAAGCTTTTTTCCCCCAAAGTTATCGTCAAATATAGTTTGTTACTGTTTTATTTAAAAATTTGTTTGCTATTACCTTGTGATGAATAGGCGCTCTTAATGAATAAAGGTCAACATACTTTCTCTAGGTATTAAAAAAATTCTAGGGTATTTTGTTCTCGAATATATGATAATTGTTGATGTCTCACCAGTTGAGCTCTGAAAGAGTGTGGAAGTCAATCTCAAATTTAATCGTTGATTGTTGTTATTGTATCAATGGAAATGAACGGTAAGTTAATTTCCTTATTCCTAACTCAAAGTAATGACTTTGTACATGTATAATTATGTTTCAATCTCAACTATGACAATTGAATTAATCGTCTTAAAGTAATTGTATTTGTCTAGTTGAAAAGATTGAGAAGCAACAAATATAAGGTTTGGGATCTCGTAATGATATGACGTCTTTTCAGGACAATCATGTAAATTTGACCTAAAGCGGACAAATATCACACTATGTTAAGAGTATATTTAGACCGATATAGAGCAAAAACCGGTATCATGGCCTTGGTTTAACAAGATCAGTATGACGAACGCAAATGATCGTGTGAGGTTTTGTTTACTTCCACTTACAAGCTTAGAGACGCATACATACAAGAATAAGCTAGTTATAGGCTTCAATTGCCATAATATACTCAGACGACGTGGGTGACACATAGTGAATCATCGGCCACATGAAATTTAGTTTGAGGGACTGATTGTTGTACGAATAAAGTCTCACATTAATATATGAAAATATTGAAAAACTACATATAAGATATAGGATCTCTTAATAATGCAAGTCTTTTTGAGGAAAATCGTGTAAGTTTTATCCAAATCGAACATTATAACATCTTTTGGCCGTACATTTAAGTGAAAGGACATACACTATTTTAGATTTGGAAACTCACTACCATATCCTAAAATCTAATTTTACTTTTGTTGAACCTCATTTCATCATCTACCACCAACTAGTGTTTCCTCACTTTCTAAAAGTTTTTTCTATTATAATATTTAAAAGGAAAAAAATTCTTTTTGAACACTAAATAAAGTTGTGAAAACAGCTAGTAAATATTATTAGCAGTATTTTTGTGGGGTAGGAGATCAACCTAATCTTTTAGCAGCCTTTATTCATTGTGTCAATGGACTTCCCCTTTCATTTCCTCTTTTTTGTTGTCGTTGTGCATCGAGGATCGTAGTGAGATGGATATGATCTCTCCGTATTTAATTAAAGCTTTCAAATTCGAGCCCTGACAAGGCGTGCTTTCCCCTTAAATTGATCTTATGCGGTACTATCCAAATTAATCGGAATCTCAATACAAATACCGAACACTTGATTAAAAAAACACACAAATGTCTCAAATTATTACCAAAAGTGGCTATTTTTGCATATTTCTCCCATAGCAACGTTGGACCTATCCAACTAACTTCAGGATTAATGGGCCATCATATGAACTATGAAGCCTTCAAGAGTAAGTAGGTCCAAATGGAGATTTTATCGAAGGATAAAGTTAGACCTTTTCGTAAAGTACAAATGTATTCGAATCGTTTTCATTTTTTTATAATAAAGATTTCATTGGGTGCGTTGTTTAATTCGTGTCTAATTTTAACAAATATTAGACATGCAAACGTTTTAGTCATAATAAATCAAGATTTCAAGATAAATTTATCAAGAAATCAAGATTTCAAGTTCCATTCTAAATCCTTTTAATAAAACAAATACAAATTTCCAGTACATCAAAACAAAAAAATAAGATTGTGATAAATCACTAAAAAATCGATTAATAATCATAACAGTAACGCATAAAAATACAAAAAAAAAATAGTAAACAAATTAATAAATCAATCTTTACTAGAAACTACGTACTAAACAAATAAATTGGAGATCCCATCGTAAAACAGATACAAAAAGGGCACACCAATGACTAGAAACATGGTGGCACTAATAATAAGACAAACATTCTCACTGCGATATCGCCTTTTTCGACCATAACGTGCATCAGAACCCTTGGGATTAAAACTAGCCATCGAAAGACATTGTTTGTTGAGAGCACGACAACGTCCATTAATCATCTTCTCAATAGACACCATCTTATTAATCTTTTTTAGAAAAGAAAACGAACACAAAAAAATTACTAGATTTGTTTTTTTTTCATCAATTTATTTGCTTCTTGTTGTTGATATTGATATGTTCATTCATTGCATAAATATGTACTATATTTATAGGCAACTAAAATTAAGAAAATTAAACCTTGTCCGAAACTACTTAGGAATTAATTATAGGGTTTAATTAGTTGATTCCTACTTGGAATAGGATTAATAAAATTCTTTTTTTCCATAAATAACTATCTTATAAATTAAAAAGTAAATTGAAATTATAATTATTAAGTATTTTATATAACTTTTATGCAACTTAATAAAGAAGATAACGTTTTTATTGGACATCTTTAGTCACACATGACACAATTGATTAAAAGTAGAGAATAAATATTTTTTTGAAAAGTGTATCTAACTTCATTATAAAGAATTAATAAATAAATATAAATTACTTAATAAGATATATTAACTATTAGTAATACTTTGTCTACGCTT